AGCAGCACGAATCTCCTGTTATTTTGATAAATCGTTCCATTAATGAAAGACCAAAATGGAAGATTCAAAATAAGTAGCTTGCTTTTCAATATCTGTAATTACCCTAGCTTCCACATCCTCCAATGTTTCTTGAACAAATGGATGATCAAGAAGTGCAGGCCAAGTCAGTCTATTTTGCGGTACCTGATTCACAGAATGATCACTAGATCAAAAGTAGTAAGCTAAAAATATAGAAGTGTAAGGGCTTTAATTATATAGAGGGAAACCTTGTTAAGCAGGCCCTTCAGAAAACTCTTGAAGGTTGAGCTCATATTGTCTGGATACTTAACTGGGTCCTGAGCATAAGTGTGTTTACAAGTTAGAGGTCTAACCAACCACAGCTCTAGATCCAAAATCTATTCAAGAGTAATCTTGGTTACCTTGATGATGTGACGAACAAGAGCATAAACTGAATTAGTGTAAAATGGAGGCTGACCAACAAACAGCTCATATCTGCATAAAATCGGTTGATTAAATTCATTAGGAGAAATACCGTTGAAGAAGAAGGTCAATTACTAATAACAGGAGATTTGTGTTGTAGTTGTAAAGGTTGTAATTATTAATGCCTCCTAGCTGTAAATTTTGTTCTTTTTTTTTCTTCTTAAAATCAAAGGAGCTCCTTTCGTCTAAGAAAGACTTCAAGCTTCCCTCCAGCCAGAAGGAAAGTTGTTTCCAATAATCGCAAATTATCATTTTGAATTGATTCAAAACACTGAAAACATTCCTAAAGTAGATGTCACATACAAGATAACACCAAGAGACCACAAATCAGCAGTGTGGTTGTATGGTTGTTCTCGTACCAATTCTGGAGCCATATACAATGGTGTACCTAAGAAAATGAAAGAGAACCGAGGATCAGGAGCAGAGTAGACCAACAGTAGTTTGTATCAACCACTTGATGTCCATTTATTGACTGAGGAAAACAAAGCAATCCTATGATGACTTAAGTGAAATTCACCTTTTATGGATCGCAGAACTACTGTATTTGTGGACATGGCTCGTGCAAAACCGAAGTCACAAAGCTGTTAAATAAAAAAAGAAAAATAGAAGAGACATGAGAAGATAGGTTACATCTTTGCTGCTGGATGCAGAGTACAACAAGCACCACGTTATACACTGGCATATCATTCACAAAAAAAACCAAGACAAACTAGCTCTAACACATTTTACAGTATCATCGCAAGTTCTCATTCTGTAATAATGCTTTAACAAATTTAGCAGGCTAGTTGTCATATAGCCAGAGAACATACCAATGAATAAGCTAAATTATGTTCCCCCAAGGAACTAAAATAAGAGTAGATCCCTGAAAAAAAAAAGTAGTGAATGCATGAAGACAATGCAACAATAAAACTACGCTTGAATCAGTTGGGATTGGCTATCATATTCTGTAAAATCTTAACCATCCATTTCACTCCATTTTGATGCATCTGCAATGCTCAATAATTGGACCTAAGGTAAGGAAATCTCAACATTTTTCACTAGCATACAAATCTCTAGAAATTTCTAAATGGACTGGACCTAAAGCAATGAAATCAACATGAATAAACCTTAATCCCGACTTGATGGTATCACCTCTATGGATCTTTTCTTCCATATTTTTTTTATAAGGCTGTGTTGATTTCAGGAATTGTATGCCTTTCAAGACAACCCCTTCCCATGTGATTTTAGGTCTACATCTATCCCCTTTTAGCTCAATTATCATAATTTCACATCTATAGACTGATGCATCTAAAGGTCTATGTAGGACATGACCAAACTTCAAGTGACTTTCTCTTATGTTATCATCTATCTATAATAATTGCACTTTTTCGCCTAAGCTGATTATTTGTAACCTTAAATGATTGCATATCCATCTTAAATACGCAGTTTTGCCTCACTCGTCTTGTGGATATGTTGGCCCAAATTGCATTGCCAGTCTTACAATCGTTCTATAGTGCAAAGTGCAAACCTTCAGTCAACATTCTGCCACTGCTGCCAGTTGAACTGAATGTTGTCAAAATATACTCACAAAGGAACTGGTGGTGAATAAAAAACAAATCTTTTGATGGAGTTTTATGCTTGTTCCACTATAACTCAATTTCTAAGCATGTTAGGAGAGACATCACCTCATACACAATCATAAACCAAAAAGAGGAACCACTGACTGCAGTTTAACATGAAATCACAACATTTTGAATGGGCAAAACCATAACACTAACTGGTTAACAAAGAGATCATAACTAGAATAACATCCATGAGAAAAAAAAGTGTGAATTGTGTTTTATGTAATATCCAATAACACAATTCCATGAAACTATTGGTCCATACTACAAATTAGTCATAAAATTCAGCTACTAACCTTGACAATAGATCCAGCACCAATGAGAATATTTTGCGGTTTCATGTCACGGTGTATTATACGATTTGAGTGTAAATAATGCAGTGCTCTTACCTGAAAATGAACAGAAAAATACAGTTAAATAAATAAATAAAAAAGAAAGATATAAATGTGGGATCATGATGGAATTCCTCTGCAGATTAGTAGTTGAAGGAAGAAAGCAATGTACATATTAAAAGAAATTGAAATTTTGTGTAGGTTACCAATTGCTTTGCAATTGCTTGCACTTGTTCCTCAGGGAGGCTTTTGTCATCTTCAAGAATTTCAAACAGCTCACCCTGGATATGATAGTTTTCATTAGTCAGCCATAGAAATTCAATATATCTCTATTCATGTTGGAGGAAATGCAAATGGCATTGTGCTCTAACTTTTGAAGGAGAGATAAATAGATAGAGGAGACCAATTACTTGAGCAAATTCTGTAACGACACAAAACTCCTGTGGGCTTTCAAAAGAATCGAGCATCTCTATAATATTTTCATGTTTCAACTTTCTGAGGATCTGCACCATTTGAATAACCACTATGAGAAAATAGAGACAGCACAAGTAGAGCTTCAACAAACAGTAAAATCTAGATGAAACAGAAATATATGGCACAAACTCAATTGAGAGAGATTAGATAAGATCACAGAACTTCATAATCATTCTGTCTCCGAAAAATCCAAGGAAATATTTATTGAACCACATTATGTAAACCTAGCTTCTCGAGCAGGAGTATTCACAAGCAAAAACACCAAAGAGGTAAGTAGCACAAGAATACCTCAATTTCCTGCCTTAAGTTGTGAATGTCCTTCTCGCTTTTCCCATGTTTCGGAATAAATTTCATTGCAACCGTCTGAAAGTAGTCAAATTTAAAAGTAAGAGATAAAAAATAATTAGAATAACCAGCAAAAGCACTAAAATAAAATGTACCTGGCCAGTATACTTTCGCCTCCCTTTGTACACCTTCCCAAAAGAGCCCTCGCCTACAAGCTCTATCACATGGTAGTTCTCCACACCCATCTTCAAAATTATTCTGAGGAGGAAAACAATATTTTCTTAATTTTGACACAAATATACAAACATGTATAATCCTAGCAGTAATTTCAAAAACCAAAAAAAATCGCACAATTACTGCAGACAAGCAGCTACCTGTTGTTTAGATTGGATTAAAACGGATACAAATTCAGATCGGAATTGACGGGATGATTCAAAACATAGAGCATAGTATACAAGTCAATTTCTAATCTACAAGTTCAAAAACGACAATTTATAATCTCTACTAACAACTGATGATTGCTACTAAATCCGAAATAAGTGATAAAAAGTGGAGAGTTTACCGTTTATTGATGAAATCCTGCAGAACTTGGCGTGTGAAATTCAAAAAGGGGAACAGTGGATTTTGGGTAAGAAATGGAAACGTTAGGATTTAGACGGAGAGAGGTGGATTTGCATTTGAAATATGATATGGTCCCCCAAAAACCTTTTCCCGCTCGGCAGAGAGAGAAAAAAAATGTAAATGACAAAATGATCCTTTAATTTTTGGATAGGTTCAAAATAATCCTTTAAATATGTTTTGAGCAGTTTATCGGTCTGAAAAATACTTCAACTTTGGCCAAAATTGTTGTTATGATACCAAACTTTATGGAGGACATTTTATCCTGCACTATTTAATAGTGCATTTTAAAGGTATATATGTGTCCACATGAACACGTTACTATTTATAATATGTAATATTTATGATGTCCACGTGGGCACATATATACTTTTAAAATACACTAATAGTGCAGGAGTAAAAGATCTTTTCAAAGTTCGATATTGTTACAACAATTTCGGTCAAAGTTCGGATATATTCAAACCTTTTTCCCTTTTCGATACATTAAATTTGTCAAAAGTGAATATTTTTGTCTTTGTCAAATATTTCACGACTTTATATCATTTAGGTTTAATGAGAATTTGATATGTTGTGATTTGGGGGAGAGGGGAGAGATTAATAAAAACTCATATTTGAAAATTGAAGGAAGGTTATAGTTTCTATTATTTTTTATCTATTTTTAAACTTTTTGCTTTTTTAGGTGTAATTTTTTCTGTTTATCTAGTAGTATAATTTTTGTGTTACAATTTCTAGAATTTGATAGGACTGCTGTGTTTTGGTAAATCTTCTTTTTTCTATCTTGTCAAATCTAATGGGCAACATTCGACCCAAACCAAAAAGTAAACAATTTTAAATCTAAAACTGTTCAAAAAGTACATTTGAACGACTTTCAACCAACCTCCATACATAATGGACCATTTCAAACTCTTTTTGTAACTTATTTAAAAAACTTCAAGCAATAGAAACTAAGGGAAGTTTTGTGAAATCGTACGGAATGAACCAAAAGAGTGTTTAGAATAAACTTTTTTTCTTTTTTTTTTCAAAACGGTACAACGGTCGCCCTGCTACAAGAGTTTTTTTTTAAAAAAAATTACATTTGAGCCTTAAGTTAACAATATGTACAATTTGAAGAGCCACTCCAAGGCCTAAGTATGAACAACAAATGAACTTTGCTCAGCAGCTAGTAACTGAATTACTCTTGACCCAGGACATAGAGCTTCATTCTGTTGTGAGCGCCTTCCCAGAATTGCAATGAATATACATGCTGTACAGACCGAGCGTGATTGAAAATATCTACATTCTGATCTCAACCACATCACCATCTTTTAACTTTGTATTGGGCACTACCAGCTGGCCATTTACTGAAACCAACTTCCCTTCCAACCCTGCTCTCCTAGCAGCATCAGCTGCGGTGCTACCAGTGCTCAGGCGCATTATCTCACCATGGGGCCAGCATACGATGACCACCTCACCTAGCAAACCGGAGCTAGCTTCATATGGTTTTGTAGCAAGCACCACTCGCTGACTTGCTTCAGAGCGCAGTTGCTTCTCCCATTGAAGCATTGTCCTCAGCAAATATACCTGCAAGTTTTAAAAATTGCAAGCTGAATATCAGCTAAATGAACCATAAAGAGTCATAAGAGGGACATGTTTAAGATTGAAGGACATAGGAATTGATAGATCACCCAAAGCTTAAAAGATATACAAAGACAGGACCCACAAATGCTATCTTATCAAGTTATTGTTTAATGTTCTACACAATCTTTGTCAAAAAAAAAGGTTCATGTTTAGACACCTCGCGAAGCAGCTTTTAAGTTTTATCCATTGAGTTAATCTACTACTTTGATGAATCAATCCGTCCTCTATCTTTTCCCTCTCTTTCTTTTTTTCTCAAATACCCAACCCACCACACCGTTCGCTGACCGTGAAGCAAAACTCTATCTTGTGACAACATTTACTATCAAAGTGATAGCTTATGTGAGACAATGGTAAAATAGGAAAAGCAGGATAATTAAGGGTAAACAATGAATATCACACACATGTCACACTTTGGGTGTCGTGGCCACTGATCAGTGCCAGGAATAACTAACTACTTCCGGATAACTACTGATGCCCTTTTGTTAGCCTCTTCCCATACATTTGATGGATATTGATCAAAAGAACAGGCGTATTGTCCATTTTATGGTTCAGTGGCTAACTTTATTCATCATCACCAACGACATTATTACATTTCCCGAGTATAAGATAAGAGCATAACAAGTTCATCATATTGTTACTGAACTTTGGGCATATACTAGTAGTCAAAATACCTTATTGTTGATGCCAGAGTCCCTTAATGTCGGATTAGAAGCGTTATAGCCCAGCTTGTTCTCAAAACTTGGGTTAGATGTAACAGAGGCAACAGGTTTCCCCTCAAAGATGGCAGACATGATAGCCCAGTAAACATTTTCTTCCTGCTCTGTCAATTCAATGATTTGGATGAAAGTGGGCAACAAGCGCTCGAACTGGTCTTGCTGCATCAACAGTGTAATAGTTGTTACAGGATCCCAGCAGAAAAAAGAGACATGTTGACTGTTTAGCCTCAACTACTCCATACATCCGATTTTAGGTGGCATAAATTGACGCCATATGGGATTACTAAATTGACTCGTAACTTATGCTGATCCTAGTATCAGAACATATTCAAGCAGTACTTTAGAAAGTATCGTAGGAAAAAACATCACATCACAGTTTATCTTTGAATTCTTAGAATTTCATTTCCATGTCATGGTTTGAGGCTTCCCATACCTTGTGGTACATACCATCTTGACAAAGTGTATACTTTTCCAGGCAAGTGCACCAATCCCCATGTCCTGGTTCGCACCACCATTCATCAGATACCTGAAAATCATGTTGTAATCCCTAAAGTTAAAATATGATGATCTTAGGCACTAAGAGATAACTGCTTTGCCTGTAAATTTGCTGATATACAGATGTATGTTGTAAACAGAAATTTGAAGAGACATGAACTTAGATCACCATTATCATTATCATCATCATCATCATTATCGTTATTATTGTTATTGTTGCTGATGATGATAAACAATAGAAGAACTTATTTTTTCCTGTATCCCTATAGTATAAGTCTAATTTATTGATACTTAATCAAAGGGCTGATTAGGAACACTATGTGTGTGTTGTTTTCTTGCTTATTTTCTAGTGTTTGGTAAGTGAGCTAAAAAAACATTGCCCCAAGATCATTTATATATAATGTATGAAATTACTATGGGGTGGAGGTGGGGTGGGGATGAGAGGAGACAATGAGCTTGAAATATCAATTCTGGAATTTGTTTTCCCTAAACCTACTAGGAAAGTCATTTTCCTGATTTCTAAGGAACTTATTTTCCCAGAGGAAATGTTTTCCAAAACCTTCTGACCAACCAAACATAGGAAGATTGGAAATATTTTCAAGGTAAATTTCCATGCAAAACACACCCTAAGTGTTGCTATATCAGCTGCAGATTAACTGGACATATTTTTGCCAATACTCCAAGGTAAATTTCTCTTTTCTGTCAATTTTGTCTCTCCTTGTCTCAATTTTAATTGATTAGCTTCTTCCTCCTACCCGTAATTTTGATCTACTGCTCTATCTGTATTTGCATATGCATGTGTATGGCCTCCTCCAAAATATCTCAATCTACGGATACCATGGACCTATCTAATGCTATCACCACACATGTCAGAGCAAGCTAGCTATTAGGTAATTTAAAGAGGCAAGATTGGTTTCACAATTTTATTAATTATCAAGCAGTCTGTTTCAAAGGTGAAAGAAGCTATGAAAGAGGAAAAGTTCCAGGTAACAAACTTAAGGCATTTTCATGATTAGTATGGGTGATAGCTAGCTTATCAGTTATATCAAGAAAGGGAATATAAGGCTTTTTTCTTCATCCAGCAGTCAAGGTCAGCTAACTATATCTTTTCTACAAGGTCAATGAATTGGAAAATGAGAAGTGCTTGAGAGTTTACTAAGATATGTGACGTAGTATTTCCTTCGTAAAACTTGCACCAAACATGAATCAGGCCAACAGACATAAAGTGATCAGCCAATTCAGCACAGGACTTACCCTACCAGTAATAACCATATTATTCTGAAATGACAAGTTATAAAACTTCCAAAAGTTACCTTCTTATATAATCTTGCAAAAGCTTCCCATCTTTTCGTCTGAGAAGAAGATCTTCTGTCAGCTACTGCCTCAGAAGCTGCTAGCCCAAAACTTACAGCAACAAGCAATTCTCTTGCATCCTTGTCCACTCTGGTGAAAAAGAAAACTATTCACATACAATAAAAGCATTTGAGATACATGTTATGAATTCGGTGATGATCTACCTCACAATAACTGCAGCAAGCAGGTGACCTGCTTCCACTCTGAGGACAGGATCTCCCACTTTTAACGAGCTATACTTATGTGACCCATCATCTTCAATAGAACCTTGATCTTCAATATCTGTTGAGAAGAATGAGGGTGTAGTTGTTCCAGAACCAGTTACACTGGTCACCAAGGGCAGCTTATCTTCAGTTTCTTTGTAAAGCCAATGCGCTGCAAGTCCATGTTCAGCACACTCATGCATCCTCTGAATATTCAAGATCAGCATTTTAGAGCTAGATAAAAATAACGATAATCACCACACTACCGACTAACAGAAGTAAATGAAAAGGAAAGACCAAAAAGTAAAGCACATCAATATCAATGATCGACTGAAAGATTTGAGGATGTAATACCTGGGTTCTTATTTGAATTTCCAGAGGTGAGTTGTCGGGACCTTGTACTGCAGTGTGTAGGGACTGAGATCAGGAGGCGAATATAAGGTTGGATAGCAGTCAGAACAATGATTATGCCACAAAGATGGCCAATCTAACTTAATGAAAACAGTAACCCATTGAAGTAAATAAGAAGTTCAAACCTGGTAGCCACTTGGTTTTGGGTTAACAATGTAGTCATCAAACTCTCCATCGATAGGGGTCCATAGCCTAAACATTTTGAAAAGCAGAATAGGTCAAATTTGAACCTCTATAAGCACATATATTGACATGCATGTTCCGTTGAACTTGAGAAAGTTTATAGGCTATCTAAAAAATAAATTAAAACAAGCAGATGATATGTATGCTATTAATAAATGTGCAGATTCTTCGAAGGGCACAAATCATTTCCTCACTATTAGTACCACTGCTGCTCACATATGTAATTCAACAACATGTAACAAAGGTGACATTCAACAAAAGAATATCCAATCTATACACCTGTGCACAATGTTGAGAAGATTATAGCAACTCTGAACTGCCTGGCTGTGTAATGCCCCATTCTTATCTCCGACAATAACCCTCAATGCACGGGCATCATACACTTTGTTTATGCCAATTTCTTTCCTTTTGATCTGTGCCAAGTAAAATTAAAATGTAAATTGTCAGTTTTTTCTTTAAAGATATATGACAAAGAAGCAATGCATGAGAAGATATCTGATTATGAAGCAGCAAAATGAAAAAAGATAAATCAACAAAGACCTCAAAAGTCTTGGTAAGTAAACATCATTAGCACCACAAGTCCACAATTGATTTTCCACTTTTCTGATAAATTATAACAAGAAATACCTATGCATAATTGTGCTTTATGAATTTATCCTTCTACCTTACTATAAATACTAAACAAGCTTTTTAAGCGTCCAGATAATGTGACTTCCATCCCAGGCACATATCTGCAACATAACCAGATGCACATAGTTAAAAAGCATTATGATAGGTCATGTGGTCTTTTCTTTTATTCCAGAAGTATTGCATTGATTAATGAGCAAAACATACGAGGTAGAAATGAATAATTCACGCTCCAAAGCCTCCTCGCAAACTACCAGAGTTCCTAGGGCAAAGGCAGCATCTCTCACGACCTTTGGTGTTGTCTCCAAATTTGAATTTGCCACAAGCTTGTTGAAAAAGTCAGTACGCTTCTTTCTATCTTGTAAAAGATCAAAAGGAAGTACAGCTTGCAAAAGAACCTGAAGATTGAGGATAGTTAGACTCAAATTTATTAGTTGTTTAATACTACAGGAGGAGCATAAACACAGATAAAGGACTACCTGCCCCCAACCACCCATGAAAACAGGGTGACAAAAAACTGTTAGATGAATGAATAATACTGGATCCTCTTCCCATATAGGGAGCAAAAGAAAAGGTTCTGGGTAAAACTATCAACTTCTTCAAACAAAATTATGAATCATAGACTGTACAGGAATAGGTAAATTCTAAATTTTCTATCAGAAATTACAAGTTCAGAAAAGATCATCAGTTTGTACTTTTAGAATAACACAATTCCTGTAATGCTTCATTGTCCACCTTTGGTATCAGTTAGAAATGCAAATGATATTTTGCACCAGCTATGCTTTTAGAAGATCCCAATAAGAAGTTTCTTTTGAGAAGTTATACATAAAAATGATAGGGACAAGGCAAACACAATATCACCAAAGCAGAAGCATATGAGCTTGTATGATATGGTGATTGACAGAATAAAGATCATTTGAAGAGTGACAGGCAACAGAAACCACAAACCCAAATTATCAATTAATTATCACTGCAATGCATTCACAACAAGTTTCACGAATAGAGATGAAACAAAATCTCGAATTGTCTTCACCTTCATGCATATGTTTTCTTCATCAGTTTCTGAGGGTTCTTCGCGCTCAGCGGTCACACGTTTCATTCTCTGGTGCAAAAGGGAGCTGAATTTGCCATATATTTTTCTTGCATTGCCTGTCCTGTTTGGATGGCTCCACATGGATGCTAGGTCAGCTCTCATGCGAAGAAATATTTGAGGCTGCATTATATATTCATGGTGTTACTAATTTTGCCTTCTCACATGACAGCATTTTCTACATAAATGACTAAAACATGAACGCACCTGAAGCACTGCAAAACATAGATCTTCAAGTTCAGCCTTTAATGCCCAAAGCCCCAATCTCGAAGCAAGTGAACACCAAATAGCCAGTGTCTCTTGAGCAACAGCTTGAGCCTTGGCTGGAGGTAATGCATATCTGGAAGAGTTTCAATGAACAAAAGATCAGCCACTTCAATATTAGAATCATGCTTTAGTGTTTAGGATGAAGGATTTGCAAAGAAAGAATAGAAGGGTAAAAGAACTACAACGAAAAAGTGAACATTTTCCTAACTATTGAAATCCAATTGGACACAGACATGCATAAATCAATCTAACTGAGACAAACTAAAACTAGTGGTTCGAAGACTATACATGGTTCTCATGTTGTGAAGACGGTCTGCTAGTTTGATAAGCACCACACGTGGATCATCAACCATTCCCAGTAGCATCACTCGTAAATTATTTGCCTGTACACGAATATACATACAATGAAATAAAAGAACAAAGCATAGTGCATAACTAACCTACAAACTTCCTAAGTTGCTCGGACTCTCCAAAAATGTTGCCGCACCGGTGTCGGATCCTTCAAAAATACACTATTTTTGGAGGATCCGACACGCACCCGTCGACATTTTTGAAGAGTCCGAGCAACATAGCAAACTTCAGGGAATAAACAAAGCTATGCTAAAAGGAACGTGCAAAGATCTTTTTTCGCTGCTCTCAGAACTCAGAAGTCACACTTGTTTGATAACTTCAGATATAATAAAGAGCTCAACGTGAGAACAAATATAAAATATGAGATTGAGGGACATGACATCACTTACTGCTTTACAAAAGACTTGGATGTCATCACATCTATTCATACATTAAGTTTTAGTTAAAAACCACGGAGAAGAGTATGCTGGCAAGATGAAAGTAGCAGGACTACATCAAAGAATACACAAGAATGAATGAAGAGCTCTTATTATCAACATGATCCAAAAAGTCATCACATTATTTCAGATTCTATGCAACAGTCAACTATCTCAACAACATGCTAGATGTGTACATATTAGATATTTTAAATGATCTTAATGTGCGTTCAAGTACCTCATAATAGCTAAGTGCAGCTTGATTCACATTTAACCTTATTATCTGTTGAGAATATAATAAAATAATAAAAGTGTGCCACTAACAACTTAAGCTTTTAGATGAGATGGTCACACACTTCAACATTATCAATCTTTTCCAAAAAGCCATCACATTATTTCAGATTCTATGCAATGGTCAACTATCTTAACAAAATGCAAGATGTCTACATATTAGATACTTTAAATGATCTTAATTCGCATTCAAGTACCTCATCATGGCTAAGTGCAGCTTGATTCACATTTAACCTGCGATGCCTCCTTAACAGCTGCATGAAAAATTTCACTTAAAAGTCGGGACATAACTGAGAACTATGAAGAAGACAAGGAAGACGAAATCAATCTGCACATGAATCGACAATCCTGTTGGCCATTTTGGGGTGTCCATTATTCCACTCATCTAAAAGAGAAACTTTTTCCTTTATACTGTACTCTATTTCAAAAATTGTAAGTATTACCTCAAGTTACATTTTTTTAAGAAGAGTAATTTCTTTTTGGTTACTTTCATTTAAATACAGTGACATTCAATTCTTGTTCAGTATAGATGTACGGCTAGGAAGGACCACAATTTTCAGAATTTAAATTGAGGCATAGCATTGACTCAACAAGTTTCATATTTACAATGTCCTGAGTTAAAATCATATCACCACTTCAAGCTATGACTGAAACCAGAGTTGTAACTTAAAATCCGTCATAACTGATCATAGTGCATAAAGTACCTGATTGATGAAACTTAACCTAGAAACACCTGCTACCAAATTTGCAACATCAGCGTCAAACTCTCTCTCTATAGTGTCCAAACTTTCACCCGTATCATCAACCACATCATGGAGAATTCCCGCAACAACCGTATCAATGGCCTATAAAAAAATTAGCAGTTACAATGTGCAAATTCACTTAGAAGACCTACATAATACAGTGTGTGTATTACTTTCAACATAAATTACAAGAGAACAAAGAACCTAACTAGATATATGTAGAGAGATACATAGACTTTCAGGTTATGTGAGCTGTTGAACAAACTACTGTCATTAAAAAGACAGAATTGTACCCTTTTCCCAGTTGATGGAACCAAGACAGCTACAATCTTTCCAGTGTGGATACAATGTGTTAAATACGGCTCTCCAGTTCTGCGTAGCTGTCCATTGTGAGCTTTTCGTGCAAATGCAATAGCCTTCTGCACCTGCCTTCACAGATTCAGAATTTAGGGCACTATTGGCAAATGTGTATATTGACATCAACAAGTGCAAGTTGAGATGGTAAACCTTATCATCGTTGAAGATGGGGTATCCAGTGACATCTACTCCATCCAACAAGAGTGATCCTGCAGAAGAATTACACTTACTTACTAGCCCTTATGGTGTATAATCTTTATCAGTTAAGAAGAAGTAGATGTTTAACTAAGTAAACGCTAGTATACTATCAAGTTCATAGAATTCTATAGAGGGAATTCATTGAACAGATCGTTAACTGAAGAAGCTACTTCATCTCCTTTCTAGACATCTCAGGCACATGTAATTCGTACACTTCCATTTATCGAATAGAATATAAGACTTCCTCATATGCTATAAATCATACACTTCAATGAATCCTATAGAGGGAAAAGTCCAGAACGTACATATTATAAGCAACAAAGGAAAGGAAAAAGTGAGAACTGCTTATTTACTAGAGTAGTTGAACATGTAAGAAAATGCATAAAATCTAAGGATTTCCCTAGCAAAAGTTCTAAAGGAAGTTACAGTTTACAGACAGTAATACATGCAAAAGTTAGGGGCAAGCTCCCATTGAAAACTTATGAAAGGAAAAAGCTCGAGTTTTTGGCTAAAAACATCCCTCAAATATACTCTAAACTAGTAAAACTACCCGCGCTTTGCGCAGGAATTTAATATCACGGAATTTATAAAATAATACTTAAAACCTATCAGGCATTAAAACTAAAGCACTATATTATCTTACATACAAGATTACGTAGTAACAAACATTAATAATGTAAAAGAAAATGAAAATCATTACATCTTATCATTTAGCCTTAATAACATAAGCATAAATTAGAAATTAATGATTGTAAAAATACATACCAGGATCTATAACATAAGCAATAGTGTCAATGAGACACTCAACTTGAGCAAAGTATACAAATATTTAATTGTGAAGTAGAAGAAGAAAAGGAGGAGGAGGTTTAGAATTTTCGTTGTGCTAAAATGAGAGGAAATTCCTCTATTTATAGACAACAAAGGGTAGTGTGAACGAATGGTTATTGTGCCTTATCAGAAAGGTTACAACTATTTGGAAAAGTTGCAACCCTTCGGTAAGGTCACAACCTTTCATAAAAGTCATAATTTTTCATAAAAGTCGCAACTCTTCATAAAAGTCGCAACTTTTTATAAAAGTCACAACTCTTCATTAAAGTCGCAACTTTTCATAAAAGTCACAACTTTTCATGAAAGGGAAGGGTAATTTTGTAAATAAATAAATTATAAGGGAATTTTGGTTTGTGGTGGCGCCACGTAGGCGGGCCTAAGGTTCTCTTTTATATATATATATATATGATATGATATGATATATGATTTAAACAACATCCTTTTACTACCACAATGAGCAAAAAACATTCCTTAACTATCCTAAAAATGGCCAAATTCACCCTTCCATCTTTTTTCTTGATAGAAACTAACGGTTAAATTCATTTCTTTTCATGTAAATGAAGCTAGAATTATCTATGGATAAATATGTGCCGTTTTTCACATATTAAAGTTGTAATTCTTCTCACGTGAATATGATGAAAATTACATAGTAAAATATTTATAAAAAGTTCACATAGTTTGTATCTTAAGAAGCAAAAAGGTCACATAAATTGGAATAAAAAAATATTTTTTTTATGTAATATCTAAATATGTTACTATTATATTTTTAAAAATACAGTAACTAGTGTTTATCAACAAAAATAAAATAAAAATAGACTACCTTCATACTTTAAATTCCCTCGTTGTCTAGGAAATAAATAGAAAATTATACATTTTTTTCTTATAATATTTTGTTGCTTATCTGATCAGTAATTATATAGAGCGAAAAATATTTTACTTGAAATATTTCGCTCACTTTTTACGGGACATCCTGGCTGCTACTGTGAAGTTGAGGATGCAAACCTCTCTTCCTAGCTCATTCAATTTAGTTAGGATTGTCTATTACACTATAAGCTAAGAGAAGAATGGGAGCAAACAAAATAGGGGATTTGTAGGTTGATCAACCGTTAGTTTTTTGACAAAAACTAATTAAAGGATGAATCTTGCCATTTTTAAGCTAATTGAGGGATGTTTTTTTGTTCATTGTGATATTGCAAGGATGTGGTTTAAACATAGAGTATAGTTGAGGGATGTTTTTGGCCAAAAACTCGAAAAAGCTCCATAGGAACGGCAAAAGGTATCTACTACAACTTACAAACTTCTGTTACAGTCCCTGCGATCGCTGAACTTAAAAGGTGTAATCCATATTGATATACTTTTTTCTAGTCTAACGGAACACAGAAATTCTTTTAAAATCCAACTGCATTCAAAGTTGCTTTCCTAAAACAAAAACTGCCGGCAGTCACGGGGTCACTTACTTCTAACGAAACATATACTTCTTCTGCAACTTTACATAAAATAAAAACTAAAACAATAGCGAGAGGACAGAAAGTAGGAGCTCACCAGGTTGTTCATCCACTTTGGGCCACAAAAAATCGACCTTAGTAGAAAGGCAAGCTCCGGATGCAATCGCAACCGCGGTGACTGCAACCTGCGTTATCGCCGACGTAACCGCTCCGTGAACGGAACCACCACTGACCGCCGCTGCCGCAGCAATCGCGTTGCCGGAAGTCAACACAGAGCTTAACGACGATGAAACAGTTAATTTGGGCACAATCTGATCGAGAACACATCGGAATTTTACATTTCTACGAAGACCTTGACAGGGGAAAAACAGCAACAACGGATTCTTACGCAAAATCAAAGCACGTCTGTGGCAAAACATAGTGGAATTTTGACATGAAAGCATCTCTTGCTTTGATCGAAAAATTGAATCAAATCAAAGCAAGTGAAAGAATCGAAACTCCATGAAAATTGGAGTTCAACATGAGATTTGTGTGATTTAACAGTAGGTAATGTGTGGTACAAAGTGAGAGGCCTTTTCTATACTGGTGGTTGTGATTTCTTTTTTCTTTTTTATTCTATTGATGATTATGATAGAGAGTGACAGTTGATCAGTTAAAAAGGGGACAAATATGAGCAAAATAATAAAATAGATATTGATATTATATATATAAAAAAAAGTTAAAATTAAGGTAATTACTTCTTCAATTGTGCATGTATATATATCTTTAACTTTCAAAAGATTGTGCATGTTCGTTGCGTTTTTTTAACTTTAACATTAAATTTAAGAAAATAGAGAATATTGTAAAGGTCACAGCATTGTAATTGATCAAAACATAAACATTCTCCGTATGAGCTTCTAAATGTGAATATGTGATATTTCATTAGTTACTTTTTCTGAGCTTCACTTCACTTTCACTTGTAACATAGGTCTAAATTTCATATATAAATTTTCAACTTTTTTTCCTATTTTAGTGAGGGTAATCCACGTCATCTCTTTTTTGGTTCTTATCCCAGCAAACCTAAAAAGGGCAAATTGGATCAGCAGAGAGTAGACCTGTTCGTCTTATCCAAAACATAAGAAATAGAAAGAATTTGTTATTACACACTTCCTCCGTCCACTTTTAATCGTCATAGTTTTCTTTTTTAAAATCAAACTTTTGATTAACATTTTACAATGTATTTTTCATCACATTGATATACAAAAAATTGCAATTTATAATACTTTTCGTACAGATTTAAAATATTAATTTTTTTTGTTTAAAATATCAAACTAATGTAATTTAACTTAACTTTGAAAATTAGTCAAAATTGACTTTTGAAAAGTGCAATATGACAATTAAAAGTGGACGGAGGAAGTATTTCTCTATTGGTGAAACTGGTCAATCTAACTTATGACAGCAAATATTGTAGCAAAAGGTAAGTTTATATCTCCACTCATACGTAATTCGAATTCAAATGACAATGGCATTGCTCTTCTTTCTACAGAACTTACTGTTGGCATTGCTTAGAGAACCCACCACAACTTTAACAAATATGGAACTAATTGCGTTAAAAGAAATGTAACTCAAAACTGGCACAATGAAAGATGGAGACAAAAAATCTTGTGTTGGGCATCTGTAGACTAGATGATTAGTCACCATATTCACATGGAAGTATACTGCAGTCGGTATCAACAGAAGCATTCATAGTGTCTGGTTAACATAATCTGCAAGGCCCAGGTTTCAAATATACAACAGAATCAAAGACCAAGAATCACACTAGATCAAGGAAACAAGTGCCTTATCTGCTCCACTAGCATTAAAAACACAGATCTAAGAAGAGAAGGGTAAACACTGTCATCGCGAGATCATGATCCTCCAATTTATAAATAGCCGGATGTTCAGTGATGCCCCTCGAAAAAGAGGTTCAAGTTCTTTAGTAAGCCTGCAAGAGGTCTTTGGTAGTTAGATAAGCAGCTTATGGATAGTAGCTACAACTGTGTAAGACTTCCAGGTTAGGTCTAAACCTGATCACTCAGAAGGATGAAGGGCCTATGGAAGAGAATCCGGCAGCCTTGTGTTCTTTTAAAGTGCTGGCTAACCAGTCCAATCCCTCGTATAGGCCATCCCCTCTAAGAGCACATGTACCTTGTATATGCCATTTTCGGTTTTTAAGCTCATAGAGACCAAGGCCTTCACACACTTCCATTGGTGTCATTGCTCCTTTCTGGACAAAAAAGATATTCAAGATAAAAGTTCTACCCAACACTAAAAGGGAGGAAATGTCATGTTGATAGATGAAACTTTTAATTTCTTGCTACTAGGTGATACATAAAACATTCATCATAATTTGTATGTTGTTTGGTATGATTAGCAGGGAAGTGAAAGAGATCTAACTCGTCCCCACTCCCCATACAGTGTTGAAGGGCCTGAAAGAACTGCTATTGAGGAATTAGACACTTTCCACCTTCATTTCCTAACCAAGTGAGAGGATTAGGTGGAACCATCACATCCATCTTTAAATTCTCCTACCACTGTACAACTTTTCATCCTAATGATTACTGTGCAAGACATTTTTGTTGATGAAGCTGTGCAAGACAGTGATATTAGAAAAACAAACAACCAGCAGATTTGAAACCATCAAGCAGGTGATGGTGAAAGAGTGAACTAAAACTGACTTTATGATTCAAATCATCACAAGAATAGAGAGATCAATTTCTATTGCAGAATGGTATGGTTTTTTCTAAAATCTACCCTATCCGCTAAAAATCCTCACCCCACCCCACCAAGCTTTACGAATCAGCAGTAGTTGCCCACTTTTTCCCCTAGTACGCAATACGAACTCCCAGACAAATGGTCAGGTGAAGGGCTTTACCATTAGAGCAACCCTCTCATTTCAGATGGTATCTAAGTTCTCAGATCACAGTTAGACAGGAATAGACTGTTCATGTGACACATAAAAACCCAAAATCACCAGAGGACAAACCTTGGTGCACACAACAGGTAGCTAAAACATAATTGAATGCAAGTTTGTTGGATCCAGATCTTTTTTTTTCTTTTTGATAGTTTTGTTGGATCCAAAGTTTTATTCAATGTTGAAAGAATTGCACATTTAAAGATAATCATTTGTTTTTTTCCTAGTTTAGGGTTTTCACAAGAATACTTAGAGGTTTGCTAGCAGTAGTGAATTAAAGCGACCAGCCATTAAGGGGATACTTTAGTAAAAGATATATCTAGAACAGTGTTTCTAAAAGCAAAAAAGAGAAAACAAACCGATAAAGGTCCTGTGATTTTAAGGGAGCAGTGAGAGGCAAGACACAAGTTTTTTTAAAGCACACAATTAATAAATACAAAAAGTTACCTAACATATAAATACTATTTATAGCAAACATATTGCAGTTAATGTTGCTGATTTCAGCATGTAATTACTAACATTACAGTATAAATATTAAATACCAACACCACTATTCAACATAATAGAAGCTAATATCGACAAATCCACAAAAAGTTCCAATTACAGATTATATTTAATTTTCAGCCAATCAGCAGTGAAAGAATTATTTTGCATCATTTAACATACATCATAGTTTTATTGCTTTATCAACAATAACAATAACCAGCTTTCTTCATTTAAAATTTAAAGAAAAATTATTTTATGTGATTGCTTTTATGTACTCTCTCTTTTTAATTTTCCTAACAATAGCCCCATATGTGAGGAAATGGATAATCAAGAATGAGAGAGTAAACAGGCAAGGGATAGAGCAAAACCATTGTAGGAAGAGAGATAGTTAAAAAGAGAACTGAATTAGAAAATGAGAAGCAGTAGCAGAAGAAGAAAATATCAAGAGAAGAAAAAGAAGAAGAGAGCTAAAGAAGCTTCGGGGAAACCGAAGTAGAAGAAGAGTCCTCACACACTCGAAGCAGGAAGGGAAAAGAAGGCCAAAACTTAGATGTCACTCAAATTTCCCCCTTTTTTACTTACAAGGTCTAAAGAAATGAGAAATTCTCACATAGATTTCTTTGCACTTTTTCACCTTTTAGATGCACAAGCCCTTGCTTTGCGGTGCTCTATTGCTTTTAAGTGACAAAAATCTTGTCTTTCTTTTGAAACACTTATAAAGAAGCTCACACAGCCACAAAAAATCAGCAGCCAGTTTTACAATATCGATGGAGCCAAGCAATGCAATGATTATGGAGGTCTACTTTCTGAAGGTTTTATTAAAAAGACAGAAAGAAAAAGGAAAAAAGAATGAGCTGTTTCTTTGGTCAAATTGGAAAGCAGTAAAGAGAAATAAGGGCAGTTGCGTGCACTTGTTCATTGGAGACCATGTTAACCTACATTGCTTACCGGAGAATACAGAAACAGACACCAGTTTGGTTTCACTAATCAAGAACCAGAGTACATGCGTTAAGTCTGCTTAGATTTAGGTAGAACCTATCTTATGAGATATGGGCATAGCTAGGTTACAATAATCAAGGAGTTGAGGCCTTAAGTATATCATCCTCGTGCACAGGAAACTTTAGTAACATACTACACAGGGAACATCTCAAAGTCCAGAACAATGGAAATGATAAATTGCTAAATAGCACCCACAATACTTTTGAACCTCTATTTTCTTGGGTTCATTTAATAGTTTTAGCCTAACTTTGTCTAAAGACCAGTAAAAAGAGCAAAATAGAAAATAAGCATTTAATTATATTATGTGGACGAGGAAACATACTGGAACAAAAGAAACTTACCATGTCTTGTTTGTTAGCAAAAACCAAGATGATTGCATTAAGCATAAATGGATCTCTGATGATGGCCTGAAAACACATGATAAAGGCCATTAGATAATGTCACCAACAAAGAAGACCGAGCCATAATATTAATGTTCAGTAAAAAAACCTGAAATTCTAGTTTTGCCTTTCCAATCCTTTCTCGATCCAAAGAGTCGACGACATAAATCTGTATAAGATAAAACACTTAGTGAAGCAATACTGTATCCAGTTTAGAGAGACAGTATGTCCAAACAAGAAATTGTCATAAACAAGGGAGCTGATAAAGCTTTGTCAATCATGGGGAAATGGGCCTATACATTTAATGTTATATGCTTATTTTGTACACCAAAGTCAAACATTTTGATTAAAAAAATTCATGTGTTATCTTATTTGAAATATTCATCTCTTCTCAATCCCTTGTTTCCTTCTGTGTGGTCTGTGGGTGAGGATGAGAAGGAGAAGGAAAGAAACTTGACGCCAAGAGTTGAAGGAAGAAGGATACAATTGAATGTACGGTTAGATCCTTAAACAGTAATCCCATCATACTCAAAATTGTAAATTCTTCTGTGCTTTTAGGCAATGTTACCTCCCAATGAACCAAGGGAAAATTTTACTTTAGCCCCAGGCGTTTATGTGATATCAGGAGTTAGATGCAACTGAGTGCAAACTAAAGAAATATCTGGCAAATAAGAGCAGAAACCAAATACTACTCCCTCAGTCCCAACCCAATTTATGTGATGGTGTTTGACTGGACACGAAGTTTAAGAATGAAAGAAAGATTATGAATCGTGTGGTCTAAAATAAGCATTGATATTTGTGTACTATAATCATATCATAAAGGGTAAAATAACATTTTAAAGTTAAATTATTACTAAATTTAAAAATATGTCATTTTTTTTGGGACTGACTAAAAAGGAAAGAGTGTCAGACAAAGGGAGTATCTATTTTCTATTGAGAAATAGAAACCAAAGAATGTGCAGGACTGAAAGCTTGATGAACTACTCAACATACTTGAAAGACAGGAGAGCTGCAAAGTCAATGAACATAGTTCAGACAGACTAAGATGGGGCGATAAAGCTGATGATCTCCACTTTGTTAAAGCATGAAATTCATTCATTTGTGCCCATAATGAGATGGTGGATACTTGACCATGGAAACTAATAATTTTTTTTGAGAATGGTAACATTAGTCTATATATCCACATGTATACTACATCAAAAAATGTTGTCCCCCTTCAAAAGGATTACAGCTTACATCTCTGCATCTATCTAGATGGAAACTAATTTGGAAAACAATGTTACTTGTTACCCCCAAAGGTGATTTGTTTCAGCTGGACAGACTGATTGAAGCATGTTTGACCCAAGACAATATTAGCAGAAGGAGTATCCATATAGTCAAATGTTATACATGTCAGCAAAGCATAGAAACCAACAGGCACCTCTTTTTACACTGTACAATTATGCCTGAAAATATCAAGGATCCTATATGTGTTGGAGTTCTTGGAAAGATGGTAGGTCCATCAACAATATCTGAAAACTGATTCTTACTTGTATCTTTTGTTGTGTATGGACAGAAAGGAAATAAAAGATGTTTTGATGAAATACCAACTCTAAGCCACTCCCTTAAGGCTAGTCCTCTGACACTTTTTTGGACTTTATAGCTCCCTATCTTAAGTATAGGACCCCCTGTAGTGGAGCTAACAAAATCACTTTTGTACTTGTCTATCTTTTGAACTATTTGCAGCTTCTTGATTCCATCACTGAAACAACTTCATCAAAAGAAATAAATAAAAAATAAATACTATATAATGGGTGTAGTTACCAGTCCATCTGTGTTATTGAAGTAATGCCTCCACAGTGGCCTTAATTTTTCTTGTCCACCAACATCCCACACTGTAAAAATTACATTTTTGTACTGCACTTTTTCCACATTGAATCCTGCAAGACATGCATATACAATCATCTATTATAATGGTTTCAAACGCACAGACGGTATTCAGATAGTGACAGGTATTTTAGGTATTTTTCTCCGAGAACTTCCGAAGAAATTTTCACGTCAAAACTCAAGATTTCAAACTACCCTTGCACAAATTTTATGTTTAGATAATAAGCAATGACAGAATTAAAAAACCATAACCTATGGTAAGCCACATATGATAAAATCTGAGCTTCAAGATGTGACAAACAAAGTAATTTAAGAAAATGAAAAGGATTACCATACGAAAGAAGAGATGTAGGAAGTATGTGACTTATCCCCCCCAAAATAAAGATGTAGAATGTATGTCATGTAATCAAGTGTTGCACCTGATCACTGGGAGGCAGTTTGCAAGTAAAGAGCAAGTAAGTTAGATAGGAGGAGCCAGCATCCATTACGGTTCAATTAACTATTTTGGTTAGCGTTCAATTTCTCAAGAAAGTTCATGAAGTAGTAAGTACCAGCCACTTTCGGGAATTTGTAATGAATTAATGATGACCAATAAAAAGTATCAAACTGTAGTTTCCTACAAGTTCTTTCCCCATCTTTATTTTATTTTATTTTTATAACAGTAGTCTCTGGAACACCTTGCGCGCATTTTGGCTAACCCACCGGGTACCTGCTACCTCCCACCCGCGCATGTACTGATAACTCTGTAAAGCAACGAGAAACAAAAAAGAAAGCAACAGCGAGCAGAAGCTAAGCTAAGACAGATATTACCAAGCAGATCTATTGAATTTTTCTTCCTTTTTTTAATGAAGAGCATATCTATTGAAGTTTTACAAATACAAACTTCACAATCAAAGTGCCACACAACAGTGAGCAGAAGCTAAGACAGCATACCGATGGTAGGGACTGTTGATAGAACTTCTCCTATGTGCAGTTTGTATAATATAGTTGTTTTTCCAGCCGCATCTAGCCCAAGCATTACAACCTGTCCCAGTTGAAATTGTAACCAGAAACGAGCAAATAACAGAAGAGACATCAATATGAAATAAGATAACAAAACCTTAAAAAAAATTACACATACAAGCAGAAAAACCTATCTATAAAATAGAGCTCCTGCAGGAAACAAGATGAAACTCAGGTTGGTAAACATGGGTAGAAATGCGAGTTCTCGAAGAGTGGATGATAAAAAATGCATGCTTAGATTAATTATCACTTCTATTGCAGAAAATGAATTTTAGCTACAAAAACCAGACCAATTTGAAGCAGTTATTAGTTAAGAGAGAGGACAATAGTCACTAAGGGAAGTACATTGGTTTTGCCCTAAAGAAACCCTCATCCCATTCCCTCCATGTTTCAACACATTGGACGTTGTACTACTAACCTAAGGAATAAAAATTTATTTGATGATTTTTCATATCTGGGGATGACGCTGACTAGGATCACATCATCAATGACATTGTTAAGGTACCTATAAATTTATTAAGAGCCTGTTTTGCCTCCCTGAATTTTAAAACTGGCTACCCTGTCTACACTTAAGGTCTTTCTTGAAGGGAAAATGGAAAAACAGCATTCCGAGTTAGCAATTCTAATTTTGTAGCTAGTATCTTGCATCAAAAGAATTTCAACTACACCTCAATTCCAACTAGTTCGGGGAGGCTATATGAATCCTCTGTAACTGTACCACTCCATTACGGCTCCTTTCATTCTAAATCTTAGTAATTTGCCTGTTGAAGCAAACTCAAAGTCCTCCAAATTTAAGATTCCCTAAATCTCACATTGTTACACCAACATGTAAGTCTCTTACTAGACTAACAAACTCTTTGCTTTCCCAGTGATGTATATTTTTTATTTCTTACTCTTTATAGCATATGATCAATCACCACCTACATATCTCTCAAATGTTTTTGCTGAACTGGCCATGAGCAGTTCTCTATTTCAATTAAACTACTTCGGTGTTTCTACGAACATAAAAAGATCTTCAACTATTTGCATCACTAAAATCATGTTCAAACATTAGATACAAAAGTGCATCCAATTGAAGTTAGAAAGGAAGAAACCTTGAAGGAGCATACTAGATGCAGTAAGTGCATACCAAATAATGCTAACATAGGTCTGGTAATGGAAGAAAAACAATGCCAATCAATCTTTCTAACTTGCAATTATTAACACGAAAAATGGATCATACGTCCCAGTGTCAATCAAATGTTTTCTAACTCATACATAAAAGAACATACTGTTGCACAGACTAATTCTATTAAAATACTTCACATCAGCACAATTCAGCTAAATACAGTTAGTTTCGCCTCAAACAATCTTCGTAAAATACTTCACATAACTTTCTAAGGAGCTACAAACAAGTGCAGAAAGCATATAATGACGCAAATTCCCAAATAGATCAAATCATAACGGAAAATAAGAGGAGAAAGGGGATTGTTATAATACCCTCATCTCAGAATTGCCGAAGAAAGTATCGAACAGCTTGCGAAAGGCTTGCCCCATTTTGCCTCTCCGTGAATCAGAAGAAACTGGAGAGTAAAGCTTCAATTCAACCACAGAGGAATACTATGTTTTGATGATCGATTTGAGACGAAACTTACACAAGCTTCAACAGAAGCTAGCCTTGTTTTTGCTGGCGATCTCTCTGCCTCTCTCTGTTTCTATTATTTGCTGTATTTTTATTTTCCTTCGCTGTTGTATCTGTTTAACACATCACAATTGACTTTTCTCTTTTTTTCCCCTTTCTTTGTTTCCTTTCCAGAAGAAATAGAATTCGCAATCGCATCACAATTTGATTTCACTTAATCTTGCAACGTTATATATTAAAGTGTAGTTAATTTAGCTGCAATAATATTTTTATGGAATAAAATAATATTATTATGTCTATTAAATATATAAAAAGACAATTGAACATTCCATATATAAAATTGTGGACAAATTTAACTTTAAAAAATAGGAAAAGATTTAGAGGAGGACTAAAGGGACACCAATATTGCAAACATGAAGGGACTATTAGCGGTTCATGTAAAAACTTAAAGATGATTTTGAGTCTTAACCAAAAGATAAGGCACTATTTTGAGGTTTTTCTCGTTGTTTCTTTTTTCTAAATGCTCTTTACTGTTTTTCTTATTAAGAGCATGTTTGGTATTGCTGTTAAAAATTATTTATTTTCAAAAGCACTTTTCTAAAATATCTTTTCAGAAAAGTGCTTTTAAAAAAAAACAATTTGTGTTTGATTAATTCATTTGAAAAATGTTTTTTTATAAGCAACTTGTGTTTGGCTAATATTTTTTAAAAGTATTTTTGAGAGTCAAATTACGATTAAGGGTAAATATTAATGTACTTTTAATATTAAGATTATTTTATAGTGAGAAACTAGTTTAAACATCTATTTAAAATATATATATATATATATATATTTATTAAATTAAAATGTTCATATTCAAATTTTCAATCAATATTATACATCTTTTTTGAAGGGTTGAAATCCTTAATTGTTATTTTTTTTTCTAATCTTACTAAAATATTGTTGTTACCTTCTCTTTTTTTTTCTAATTCTGCAAAATAATACATAAAATAATAATACATAAAAGTAAAATAAAATATATAATTTATTATATAAAAATTAAAAATAAAATTATTAAATGGAACTTAACCAAACATATGAGATATGTTAATTAATTAATAAGAGATATATTGGTATATATAATATATAAATAATTTTCTGCTTTTGCTTTTTTTATAAAGCAGAATTTTTTAGTTTTTTTCCAACACCAAAAAAACTACTTTTGCTTCCATTTAAAAGCATTTTTATAGGTTTGCCAAACATCTATAGTTTTTTTTTAATGTTTTTTTCTCAAATTAAGTGTTTATGAGCTCCCCAACAGCAATGTCAAGCAGGCTCTAAGTCGTTTGTTTTTTCATGAGAAAAGAAACAAGAATAACAATAAAATAATGTAGTAATTGAAAAGGAAATACATGATAGATGTGTAAGACTAATACTACACTCTCGGACTACCACCATGCCTGAACCCACTATGAAAAACAAATCAAAACTCAATTATCTACATTGCACTAATTTATCTTCGATAAGCTAAAGTTACGCCATATTCTATTTAATCACCTCTTCTCAATACCTCTAAATCGCATATCTCTTCAAACCATTTCAGTCTCACTTTCCTCATTTCATCACTACTAATCCAAGTGACATTATCAAAACATACCATGTAGGCTGCATTTCGTATGCACTTTCTACGTTAGTCCTACATTTCTTTCTTCCCTCCAAATTTGTTAGGCATTCAATAAATTTGAAAGAGTCTACGTCCTAAACAGACAACGAAAAAAGGGAAGAATAAAAAAAGCACGTCAACCGTAGAGGTGTTTCAGCAAGAACGAAGCAAATAAAATAAAATAATCTATGCTCTTTAACTGTTTTTCTTTTTAATCCTTTATGAGCAACATCCAGAGGCAATGTTGCGTAATGAAACAGAGAACATGGAATGGCTCTGTTGTTTTGCACGCCTACAGAGAGACTCCAAAAGTACCGACGCTCAATCGAAAAAAAGAGCAATCAACGATATGCTTAACTCATGCCCAGGAATCCGTAACACAGAGAGAACTGACTCTCCCGCCCCTTTGACAGCAATCCTGCACTTGACGTTGGATCTCCTCATTGGAAAATGGGGATAAGCCAGAAGCCGCCCTAAAGTTTGATGACAATTCAGAAATGGCATTCATTGATACATTTCCAACGAAGCCAGATATACCAGTAACAAGGCAATAATTAAAAATCATACTTCTGCATATTGTGTAAAAATACACCACCGTTGTCCACCAAAAACCAAAAATGATTACTGCACAACCGGCCAATGCCTGTATACATTAATAAACCTACTCTCGATGGCAGATGTCGAGGTCAACTAAATAATCCATCAATTCCTCTAGCCAACTACAGTATCGAAAATGAAACCATGAATGTCCATACACATGTTGTATTCCTAGATTAGGATCTAACTACCTAGACCCATCCAACACTTTCCTTGAATCACTGCCACAAGACCGAGAGATCACTTTCAGTACTAATGTGCGAATTTTTGCAACACAACAGAACTTGAAAAAAAAAATTAGGATGTGCTGGCCACTAAAGTTTGTGATTTAACACTCCAAGCACCCACACCGCCTTCAGGGGTATAAACGGGTATATGTGAATGTGAATCTCATGAATCCACCATTTCATCTTGTATCTCGTTGGGTGCAATTAGACCAGGAATAGAACGCATCCGCTGACGTTCCCTCTCTCTCTGAGCAGCTGCTTCCTCGGCATAGAGGTCCTTATTGTCCTGCAGGAAAAGTGAAGAATCCAAGTGAGTTAAGTGGTACAAAAAACAGCTAAATACCAGAAAATATGAATAAGCTAGTTAATAACATCAGTATGTCACACTAATAAGACCAAGATAATATTAGACTAAAAGGTCCAGAACTCATGAGGAAGCAATTCATCTCTATATCCAAAACTTCTGAAAGGAAAGGGGATAAAACTAATGACATTTGTTCAACTTTTCACCTTAGGAAGAAAAAAAACTGAGCCTGCATAAAAGGAAAAAAAAAAGTTTGCCAAAAAATTACAGATAAAAAAGAGCTATTGCCAAAAATTGTTTTTAGAAAAGTGGTTTTAGGGTACTTATTAGAGAAGAACTTCCACTCAAAAAATCCTCAGAGAGCTTCAAAAATAACCACAACTATTCAAGCAAATTTTCCTTTTTCACAAACTTCTTTTCCCCTTTTTTTAACAAAAACTTTTTCCCAAGTCATCCCACAGGCTAGCATGTTGTCAGGAACTCACAATATGACCTACATCTGTAAATAAGCCATGGTAAAACCCAACACAGATGCTAATAATTCAGAGTTTTTATGACAAATATTCATCTATGAAGTACATGAATTTGTGGACATAGGGTAGAAAAAGTAGCACGTAAATTGAAGTGGAACTCACAATATGGCTACGGTTGCAAACAATGACAAAATAAGACAAGCTAAAGCTAGACACAATTTAATTCATCAGAATCTTGACAAAGTTCTTTTTAGTCCGTGTTCTATTTAAAGTCCCTCAGCGACCTGGCATACAGATTAAACAAAATTACAAAACATGAACTTTTTATTTGTTAGGGAAACATGTGAAGCCAGTGGAATTGATTTACATTTTTTGGGGAATTTGAGAAAAAACAGGTAATGAAACCTTCCTAAAACTTATAAAAAATTTCTTTTTAGGATATTGCTTGCCATTACGCCCCAAAAACAAAGTATTGACAATCTATTAGGTTCTGCCGTGGAGCATGTACATACAGGAAGAGGGTAGAGAAATAGAAGACCTTCACACACACCCAACCCAAACAAAGAAATCTTGGAACAAATGGTCTACTTGTAACACTAACCTGAGCAGAGAACTCTTTCGATTGCACAAGGAAGTCCCTTATGTGATTCTTGAATGTGGGAAGGTCATTTGTTGAATCAAATAGCCCACTGACAAATTGAGTCACCTGAAAAAAGAGCAAACCATCACTAACATCTAAATTAAAAATATACACAAATTGACATGAAAAAACATCATGCAAAACTTGTGCTCATACTTCAGCAGAGGTCATGTTGGGGAAGGATGTACTAAGAAGCTTAATGGTGTATTCGCGAACAAATTCAACATTATTTGGATATGAAACAGGCACTGTCGATGCATCCCATAGTGGCTCAGACAACATAGCTACCTGAAATCATAGCACTATGTTACAAGAAAATACTAGTACACTAGGAAAACTAATCTGTTAGGTAGACACATACCATGCAAAATAAATGCTGTAGCACCAATACATGCAATTTAAACCCAGGCTTATGAAACGTGTCTGTCAAAACAGCAAAAATTTCTTGCTCGATCGTCAAATAGTAAGTCCTATAAAACTGGTTAGCGAACTCAGAATTCTGCCATGAGAGAAGAAACTGTTAGACCTCCACCACATATGTTGAACATGAACAATCAATCTAATGGCTAACAAAATAAAGAAGCACCTGAAAATTTTTCAGCATTGCCAGCAAAAGATTAAGCCCGGTTTCAGCAATGTTCCTCTCAGTGTGCCGAAAAGCCCATATTATAGAATCCATCACAAGTTTTAATTGCTGATCAAAATTCAGGAGAAAATGAGATCTATCATAAGTTCATCCAGACATTCTAAATGCAAGCTTCATAAACTAGAATTGGTGGTCCATACATTACATCAAGAGCAGGAAAAAATACATACCTCACTCGACAGCCGTATTAAAGCAGCAAAACAATGTGTAGCAATTGCACGAAGTAATGAGAAGAACTTGAGCCGATGCTCCGGATAATCTTCAAAGTTCTTTGTGATCATCTGTTGTACAATAAATGAATTCATCAAACAGATCATGTGAGATCACAGTGATTAACTTGCCAGATGTTTATTGAAGTAATCAAATTATCTCTAAAGCATATTACAGTCCGTTGTTATGTCACCCTGGATAGGGCAAACAAACAACCGTATTGCCTGTTAAAACTGCTTGAGATAAACGCAGGTAAAGACTCCAAAAACAGATACAAATGCATGTATAAAGAAACGGAATAAAGAACTCTCAATCAAATAAATGAG